AAAACTACCATATCACGCCATGAGAGGCATGAGTCTCTACACCGGCAGTCCACAATTTAGGGGTTTGGGGGTTGGTAAAATGTGTGTGGATATATGAAAGGTTGATTTAAACATTTTTGAAAGATGTCTCATCAAATGTCAAGTCCTGAGTTTTCAATTCCGGGTTTTGGCACTCCAGGTTTCGGGACTCTGGGCTTTGGGACTCGGCACTCCCGAAACTCGGGACTTGACATTTCATATGCAACATCTTTCAAAAATGTTTAAATCAACCTTCCATATATCCATACACATTTTACCAACCCCTGAACCCTGAAATTGTGGACTGCCGGGTTTCAGGGTTCAGGGGTCCTGGAACTTGGAACTCGGGATGTGAGACAACAAAAATATATTTCGGGGCTTGGGGGTTAGTAAAATGTTTATAGATATACGTAGGTTCATATAAACATGTCTGAAAAATGATGTTCGTCTCAAATGTCAAATCCTGAGTTCCAGGTTTCGGGTTTCGGGACTCGGCACCTGGCACCCAGCACTTGGGGTTTGGCACTGAAAATTTGACATAACTCTGGGTTTTGGGACTCCATGCTTTGGGACTTGGCACTCCCGAAACCCGGAAATCGAAACTCGGGACTTGACATTTCATATGCAACATCTTTCAAAAATGTTTAAATCAACCTTCCATATATCCATACACATTTTACCAACCCCTGAACCCTGAAATTGTGGACTGCTGGGTTTGGGGGTTTGGGGGTTAGTAAAATGTTTATGGATATATGTAGGCTGATTCAAACATGTCTGAAAAATGTGTTTCATTTCAAATGTCAAGTCCTGAGTTCTGGGTTTTGGGACTCAGCACCCAGCACCCGGCACTTGGGGTTTGGCACTGTGAAAATTTGACATTCGGGTGTTAGGGTGTTCGTGTTTCAGGTGATATCTACCTCAATCTACAGTTTCGAGTTCTGGATATTGGAACTCAATGATTGAATCATTCAATTGTGGCATAGGTAACATGCATTGAAAAAGATTTATGTACATCTATCACTGAGCAATTATGTAGCCATTTCAACCTTCTCACCAGGACAATCAACCTTCACCTCAACATCCATCTCCTCATCAGAAGAATCATATTCTGGCAGGAGGTTGCCTGGTTCATCCAGGACCACAATTTCACCGGAAAGCCCAAGACCTGAAAATATGTATGCAACATTTCCATTTTTCACTTGTTGCACTGATCACTGAGTTTCAAGGGCTGAAACCTGAAACTCAAAACCAGGTGTGCAACATGTTCATTGTTCATTTACATTACACAGATCATTGAGTGCTGAGGGCCGAATCCTGAAACCTGAAGCCCAAAAACATGTATGCCACATGCCCATCTACTCATTGCACAAATTACCAAGTGCCGAGTGCCGAAACCCGGTACTTCAAATGGACATGAATTCTATATTTGTATGTATTACCCATTGGTGTAGGGTTCAAATAACTTGGGAATTGTATTTGTCAGTGCTCGGTACTCGGTACTCAGTAGTTGGTAGTTGGTAGTTGGTGGTTGGTGGTTGGTAGTCAATATAGGCAAATGATAATGAAAAATGAAAGTTGTTATTACGCTTAACTTCCTTACCAAAGGTTGTAGTCCGAGTCTAGGGGAGTGTATTGGTAGTCTTTTCTTGTCCATCAGTTATCATTTGACTGAGATATAAGCTAAAGAAATCTGAAACATCGGCGATAATGAAAAATGAAAGTTATTTGTAATGATATTTTCGGCCTGAATCATATATAAATGTGACTTTGTATAAAAGATGTCTATTGTCACTCTCCACACATATGTCATTTTGCCTATCATTACATCAATCCTTCATGAATCTTTCTAAGCTTTTAAGCTATTATAATGGATGTATATGGGTGTTATTCTAGGTCTCTGATCACATCACAGGCTTGTTATGTTGTATATCTCGACATAATGTGCAAGTCTCGCTATTAATATTCATTCTTTTATCTTTAGACTCACTTACTGCACACATGTATTTCATTTGTCATTATTGATGTTTTGGATTTCTTTAGCTTATATCTTGGTCACATGGTAACCAATGGACGAGAAAAGACTACAAATAAACTCACCTAGACTCGGACTACAACCTTCATTAAGCTGACTACTGATTCCTGGATACCAAGTATCACAACCAAATACTGAGTACCAATTACCATGTACTGAGTACTGCGTAATGAGTAACAAGATAACCAATTGACAAGAAAAGACTACCACTACACTCACCTGGACTTGTACTACAACCTTCGGTAAGGAAGTTAAGCATAATAACAACTTTCATTTTTTCATTATTGCTGATGTTTTGCCGAATGACAAGGAAAGACTACCAAGACACTCACCTTGATGTGGACTACTACTGTCATTTTTCATTATCATTTGCCTATATTGACTACCTGAGTCTCGAGTACTGACCACTGACCACCAATCACCAATCACTGAGTACCAAGTACCAAGTACTGAGTACTGACAAATACAATTCCCAAGTTATTTGAGCCCTACACCAATGGATAATACATACAAATACAATTCGTGTCCATTTGAGGTACTGGGTTTCAGGTTTTGACACTCGACACTTGGTGATTTGTGCAATGAGTGAAAAATGGACATGACCCAAAGCACTCGGAACTCGATGATTTGTGTAATGTAAATGAAAAATCAACATGTTGCATACCGGGTTTCGAGTTTCGGGTTTCAGCACTCAAAACTCTGTGATTTGTGCAACAAGTGAAAAATGGAAATGTTGCATACATATTTTCGGGTCTCAGGGTTCGGGGTTCGGGGTTCGGCCCTCGGCACTCAGAACTTGATGATTTGTGTAATATAAATGAAAAATCAACATGTTGCATGCCGGGTTTCGAATTTCAGGTTTCAGCACTCAAAACTCAGTGATTTGTGCAACAAGTGAAAAATAGACATGTTGTGCACATATTTTCGGGTCTCGGGGTTCGGGTTTCGGCCCTCAGCACTCGGAACTCGATGATTTGTGCAATGTAAATGAAAAATCAACATGTTGCATGCCGGGTTTTGAGTTTCAGGTTTCGGCACTCAAAACTCGGTGATTTGTGCAATGAGTGAAAAATGGACATGTTGTGTACATATTTTCGGGTCTCAGGGTTTGGGTTTCGGCCCTTGGCACTCGGAACTTGAAACTCGGAACTCAATGATTTGTGTAATATAATTGAACAATGGACATGTTGCACACCCAGTTTTGAGTTTCAGGTTTCAGCACTTGAAACTCGGTGATTTGTGCAACAAGTGAAAAATGGAAATGTTGCATACATATTTTCGGGTCTCGGGTCTCGGGGTTCGGGTTTCGGCCCTCGGCACTCGGAACTTGATGATTTGTGTAATATAAATGAAAAATGGACATGTTGCATGCCGGGTTTCAAGTTTCAGGTTTCAGCACTCAAAACTCAGTGATTTGTGCAACAAGTGAAAAATGGACATGTTGCATACATATTTTCAGGTCTCGGGTTTGAAAAATAGCATAATAAAAACTTTCATGTTTTCATTATCATTTGCCTATATTGACTACCAAGTCTGATAAGGGACTTGGATGATCCATTGCTCAATGAAATACTACCTGATTGGAAGTGTGCTGGTTATCAGATATTCATTTGTTGACTCCCGGGTCCCAGAACTCAGAAGTCAGTATGGTTGACCCAAATTTGGGTGGATGGAACTTGGCGTCTCATAGGGCAACACAAGCTTCACACCTCAGATTCCAAATTCTGCAAGACAATCTGTGCACCATCAAAGGCCATGTCAGGAGATCACCTGCTGCTCCAGAAACTCAGTAACTTTAATTTATTACTGCCTCTGAGTACGGTTGACCCAAAGGTTGGTAATCGGAACTTGGCTTCTCATAGGGCAACACAAGCTTCGCACCCTGGATTCCAAAATTTGCAAGACAATCTGTGCACCATCAAAGGCCATGTCAGGAGATCACCTGCTGCTCCAGGAACTTGGTAACTTTGATTTATTACCTCCTCTGATTTGGTTGATGTACAACTACCTCAGCTCCATCATGTCTACAATTATGATACACATGGGCCCACCCATCTATATTTTATACCACCCTTGGCCCACCCATCTAATACAACATCCCATACAACACCCTCAGCCCACCCATCTAATACAATATTTTATAATACCCTCGGCCCACCTGTCTAATTTAATATGTGTCTGGGCCCACCCGTGAATGTGATAACAAGTACCTACCCATCTATCTCATACACATCTACCTTAATACACCCATCTGCATAGTATTCAACTACCTCGGCCCACCCATCTACCTAATATTAATGTACATCGGCCCATTCATATACTCTATATATTCCCTGCATGGGCCCACCCACCTCCATTGGGAATAATTTGCCTCCCAGCCCATCCGTCATAGTCGAGGATATTTTTATCATGGGCCCATGGTCTGCTGGCCCATATCATATGGGATATTATGCACGTTTGTTCCCTTGTATTATATGGAGATAGGTTACTGTAATATGTGGATCTTTGTCATCAGGGTCATATGCTGCATACTGTCCAATGACAGGTTTCAGATGGCTAGCATCCTCCGAATGAACTTGTCCGATAATCATTTGCATCTGTAAGTGGCATTAGCGCACAAACCAGTGTATATATGCATGCCTTACCTCAGTGAGAAGTCCCTCAAGTTCTCGCCACTTCTTGTTACCATTGACCAGCATTAGTAGGTATGGGGCAGCCATGGTTATCTTCTTGTAGGTTCACATCATTCGTGCCTCTTCATCCTTGGAGCTAGAGTAGTGTCATCAGCAAAAATGAAATGTGATTGCAAGCTGTACTTACATGTTCTTCAATATTGCTTCATGGTCACTCTTAACTTGTTTGTCCTTGATATGGTCCGCTTTTTCAGCTGCTTCTCGCTGCTCGACAAGAGGTGTGACCTGAAAGACATCAGTAAGTTTGCAAAACATGTCTACCCCTCGGGGTATCCAACGTGCAACATGTAAGCATTGCTCTTGCAGTGACATTCCTTTCCTGTATTGGACATTGAGAGATAAACATGACTCAGATGTGCTGGCATGTACTTACTGTTTGGGTTTGTTGCCCGATCTGAGTCTTTATGTTTCCTGAGATGGAGGGATTAGATATGCATATATGCACCTGATAATGCGAAACTAACTTACTTTGTTCGTTTTTTGGGTTTCTTCGTGTCATTGTCGCTATCCGATGATTCCCTCGTGTGTTTTTGCAGGGATTTCTTCTGTTTCGGTTCTTCGTGCATTGGCGAAGTCGTGGGTGGTGAAGTGGAGCATGACTGATTCTTCATTGAGTCATTGCTGTCTGATGACGAGCTACTGGAGGTTGACAGTGAGCGGTGCCTACGTGCTGGCATGATGATAGTAGTAGATAAAATGGAAATAAGATGTGTCCGTGGCATTATTGATTACAAGCTTTTGTTTGGCTCTATTGACATGTTTTGAGAACATGCTGGGAAACCTCGACACGTCTATGCGATATCTCAAAATCTATGTTGGTGTCAAGTACAATGATTAATTCTACAATTACATGATTCTTGTGTACAGACTGCAAAATAAAATAACATGAAAGCAGTGCGAGAGCAAAAAGAACGATACAGCAAAATCTAAACTAAGTAAAGTCCACGGTAACAGGAGCAGGCACAGCTCGCAAAATATCTAAACTGGCAATGCAATCCTTATCTTCCATGTCCCTGTAACGGAGAGGATGGCGGGGCAGCCAATGAGTGCTACTGTCAAATATGCATTTTCGTGGCAGAGGATTTTTGTGGGCTCCCACTAAGCGCACTGGTCTCACTTTGACAGTGTTATTTCTGTAAATCAAAATTTGTCAGCGTGATCAAGTAAATATAAGAAAACCTTACCCAGAACTCTGGGACGTGATTTTGAGGCCTGCAAGATCTTCAGTGAGCTTGATGGTATCGGTCATGAACCTGTAAATTTTGACGTGAGTACAACTCACTAGAACACCAAAGTTATCATGTTTTGGTCCTCTTGTTCTCACGATTGGTCGATGAGGTCCTGTAGATTAAGTTAGCGATCTCATTGTGAGAGGAGAACCAAATGGTACTCACTTTTTCCTTTTGTGATTGCCTGAAATCAACAAATCTGCCTTGCTATCACTTGAATCCTCGATGTGGACCATCTTGACGGGATCTTTGAGGCAGATGATAAGCTTCTAAATCAAAGTCAGTAAGTAATATGAAAAGATCGAGATTACATACCAATGGGCCTGGGTTCTCGGGCGTAAAATTAATCTCATAAGTCGGCCAGCCAGTCAGGAGGTTCTCGATATCCATGACAATGACATTGTCACAGATAATGACCTGGTCAATACCATCAACGAGAATAGACTGGGCTGACATAGTAGTAGATGATTATAAAAATGATTAGTATTTGATAGAAACAATTATGAGAAACACGTAGTCACATCTCTTTGCATTTCTGGCATTTTCCAGCTGACTTTCAAAAGTCACGTGACTTTCGAAACCAAGATTTCAAACTTTTTCTTTCTCCTTCACTTCACAACCCAAGTTGGCCAGCCTTTTGTAGGTGAGCCAGCATGGTAGATTGTGCACCTTTGGACAAGCCTTTTGTAGGTTATCTGAGGATCAAGTGCACAATGTCATTTCTTATATAGTGATGCATCAGGCCTGGCCTGGCCTGAAAGCCAGGGCTTGGGCCTGGAAGAAACTCAGGCCAGGCCCTTTGGGAGGGCCTGGGCCAGGGCTTACAAGGTAAAAAGGTGACAAAAGCTTTATTTCACTACCCTAATCAATTAGAGACTTAATCCTCGACATCTGATTCACCAGACAACATGATGATGTCATCACAGCCACCCTCCTCTCCATCATCCAGTTCCTCCAATGCTAATTCTAAAGCTGAAGGAGGGGCCTCTCGAAAGATCAGATCATGTTAATACATCATACGAAGTACTTGAATTGCTTCAACTATATCACCCTTCAAGCAGTTGCAATGCTTCCTAACAGTCAGAGCAGCGGCAGAAAAAGCTCGCTCACTTGAAACAGAAGTGGCCATGATGGACAAGTGATCAAAAGCGAGAGAGGCCCAAACAGGATACTGCTGACCATTCACCTACAATATTAAGCTACATCAGTAATAATCCAGTTCACATGAAATGATACTTACCCCCCACCATTGGATGATAGACATGTTATTGGGAACTGAAGTGGGTGAGTTAAGATAAAGGTGGAACTCCCTCAACCACGGCAACTGGGGGTCCACCTCCAACTCTTCCAGCTCATCATCACCACTCTCATCATCACTGGAAAGCTCTTGGAGAAGTCCATATACCTTACCCGACTTCTTCTTCAGTGATGACGGAACACCATGCTCACCATACAACTTGATATGCTCGTCCTTAAACTTGTCTAGATGTAAGCTTATACTTTCTCTTGAAAAAAGAAGACTCACAATTTGTTCTGCTTCCTTGAGAGCCTTGGCATGCATGACCTTACCCCAAAAGTGTTTGATGTGGGAGTCCTTCTGTGATGGGTTGAGCACTAGATACAACAAGCCTGGAAGTTAATATTCATATTACTACAAGACACATCACCTACACATTGCAATGATGTATGCATCACACTCCGAACTTCGGTCATAATACTCATGGATTTTCGCAACACCTTGTTGTAAGGCTTCCTGAAATGACTCATACTTGGGATTCTCAGAACGTTGTAGAAACAACAATACTGAGAGGAACAAATGATGCTCCTGACTGTATCTGTAAAAGTTGTAAGGTCGCGCGTTGCCTAGTCTGCTATACTTGAAAAGACAAGTACATTCGACCCTATAGGGGAAGCGAGTGCAGCGAAGATCTAGAGGTACGCGCTGAAGCGAGGTGCGAGAAAGCGCAGGTGCGCGCGTATTAGCGCGAAGTGTGGGAAAGCGCGCGCATGCATGTGGAAATGATAGATAGACTAGACTTAAGTGATAATATGATGCAAGAGATGTGAGAGTGCGAGATGTAAAGGAATAGAGCTCTACTATGTTCTGCTAAGTAGTAAGTAAGTAGTAACAGGTAATTGGGAGGTAAAGTTGTAGGAAAAGTGTGTTAAAAATCGAAAAGTCAGTAATAGTATGTACTGCTGGCGCTTATATAGCGCACCTAAGCACTGTAATGCGGAGCCGAAGCGCTACCGAGTAGGTATGTAAAGATATACATGAGTGAGAATCCATGATAAAAATAAAGACGGAACAATATGCAAATGAGAGAAATAGAAATATACGCACTAGAGGGCTTGGTGGACAGTGGATAGGTGCTTCTGGATGGCTGGCGCTATAGGGCGCTCAAGCGCGGGAACGCACGCGCGCGTATACATCGTGAAGCACGGGAATGGTGCGCGCATAGCGCGTGTTGCGCGGGAAAGCTGCGCCTCATAGTGGAATACCTGTGGATAGCACACAGAGTGATGCTGCAAGTTTGTGCTATGTACTCCTAGTGTAAAGCGCCATATCACACCATGAGAGGCATGATTCTCTACAACATGTTGACCATGCCTTGTGTAGGGCCTCAAGAGCCGGCAAAGCAAGGTGAAGGGATGCTCCTTTGTCAGACGAAAAGCTTTGCTGAGCCTTGTCAGCATGCTAAAGTGATAATCAGTTTTGATAATGACAACAAAACAACCTAATGCTCACTGCAAGAAGAGACGTGAATAATGTAATGCGAGCCCATTCATCTTCACATAACTTCAACTGATCAATCTTGGCACATTTTGTAAGGTTAGTCTCACAAAGGCCGAGCTTGTAGACAAAAGTATCAACATACTAAAGAACAGTTAGTTCCGACTTGTTAGTTATCTTATAATACTCACAGCTCTCTTCTTCTCAGCACGGTCAAGCATAACATAAGTCGAGGACCAGCGGATGGGCATGTCAAGTAGTAGTTGTGAGACAATAGGGCTTGGGTCAGGCTGACGGGTCTGGATATCCTTCCAAAGTTGTTTTCGTTAGGCAGAGGACCGTGCCTTGTATCATTAGTCAAATGACATTGGAATGTTTTGAGATTAACATACCTGGACTGTGATTGCTCGCACAAGGCCAACTTCATCGCAGCGGCCATGTGCTTGAGGAATAGACAAATCTGGAAGCTCAGGGTTATAGTACAGGGCACTGCTATACGAAGCAATGATAGCTCGTGTCGCAAGGTGAATAACATGAGCTAAGCACCTTCAAGTTCCATGTCAGTAAAAGTATGAAATAAATCACAACATAACTATACCTGATGCGCTGCTTTTTGGGGATCCATATTGTCCCGGTCCCTTGCTTTATCCGACGTGCCAATTCATCAAGCATTGTGTCGTTATTCGAGGCATTGTCACATGTAATGTGGCCAATCTAATACCCTGTGAGCACAGCGCACCAAGATTCTAACACCTTACCTTATGAGCAATGCCCACTCGATCCACTATCTTGAACAAAGCCTGCCCAAGACATTGTCCATTGTGGGAGTTATTCAGTTGCGTGAATCCAAGGACAGCACATTTGAGCTGCCAGATACCAGGTGATGTTTCCTCGATCCAGTGGCCAGTAGCGGTGAAATAGCCATCAGCATTACTGGCCTGCCATGCATCACACGTCAGGTTGACAGCACCAGATACAAGCTTGCTCTGTTTGCAATATCAGTTGATGATAATCAGACTAAAAAATTTTAAATTGAGCTGGTCCTTTAACTTCGACATCTGTGTCTTGAACAAGTCCATGATGTCGCGGCATGTAGCATTATGGTTTGGTAGGACCACACCATTTGTAGCACGGGCTGCTATGTTAATCATGTTCTTGAAGCTTGGATGATCTACAGCTTGGATTGGCTGTAAAATCACGTTAGAAATCATATTGAATACAAGTAATGAATACTTACCTGGCTAGTAGATATCAGCCATTCAATGGCGGCCTCGCGGAAGAGTGTATCAGTATAAGGTACAACTACCTTGTTGGGCAGAATCTCTCGGAGGTGTCCATCGAGACTTGATTGCTGTGTGTTCACCACCATAGCTGCCATTTTGTGTTCCTTGACATCTTGAGGTAGCATTGACTCGAAGTTGTTAGTCTTGCACCATTGCCGATAGGCATCCTTTAAACGTTAATACACAGATGAAGCATCAATATTCAAGTACTAAACTTACTGGATGCCGAAAGGCAATATGGCGTCGACATGTCGAAGTGTCGCTAACAATCTGGCATGGGTAATGTTTTTTTCTATGAATTTGTCAGTTGGGAGGTAGCACATCGAAGACATTACTTACTTGCATGGCTCGCAGTCTTGGACTGTACGAGTCTTCCCATCCTTGGCCTTGTGTGCGTATGGCTTGCCAAAAAATGCGCTAACATCGCAGCTCTTTTCCTCATGTCGAACAGTCGGGGTTGTGGATATATCTTGTACATTGATGTCGGATAAAAAACCTTTGGTGTCCATAGGTGTTGCATTGCGTGTGCTCGGAGCCTCATCTGTTGATCAGAAGCATTGACAAGTAGCTATAGAACCGGACAATGTAGATACATACCTGCATTATCAAATACAGATGGGCTAGAACCATCTGTGAACGACGCCTCACCATCAGCGTTTGCAATGTGGCGCAAGTGTTTGCCTACAATGTTCGAACTCAGTGGTCCTGAGATGAGATGTACATAAGAACTTACTTGTATGAGGTCCATTTTCCATAGCACCCTCATCAGACGCACATTTGTCTACCGCATCCTCTGCTCCTCATTTGCTGCTGATTGGTACTGGTTTTGGGGTGCTGATGGCAGGCACGGGAGGTTTGTTCCTATGGGCTGAGAGCTCCGGAGTCGCATCATTGTTGGCATCGGTAAGCTGTGATGAAAGTGTCACAGTTCGCCGTGGTCGAGACACGACATGTCCTGATGTGGACTCATTGTCAGATACGACGATGGGCATTATGAAAGAGATGAATGATTATCTAATATGACTAACAGTACATACCTGCCTTTTCGAGAAAACTTAAAACTATATAGTTTAAATGTTCAACATCGGCCGCGGACGGGAAAAGCTGGGGCTCAGGCCCAGGGCTTTGGCCCAGTCAAACTACAGGCCAGGCCCTAGGCCCTAGTAAGCCCAACTTGTGGGCTTGGCCTGGCCTGGCCTACATAAGGCCTGGCCTCAGGGCTCAAGGGCCTGAGGCCCGGCCCTGTGCATCACTATTCTTATACATAGACCATTTACCTCTGCCGTTCGCACCAACACAGCAACTTTCAGGACCTTTGACAGGACCTCCTTCCTGGTACCTCAATCTTGGCTGAGCATCATTGACACACTCAAGTGAGTAGTTTGACACTTATTTTGTTCTAGGTCAACTCTGATTTTGGTGCTCCTAACCTACCAGAGATATTGACTATATATGCCCACTTTGACATTGCACTTGCTATTCCCGGATCCCCCACTCCACTTGCATCATTCCCACATTTGGTTCTATTCTGGATGGTCCCAGTCCCCTCCCTGTCTAAGTGTCAGAGGTGAGTTTTGGTTTTTGGATCTCCCTTCTCCATTCCACAACTCAAGTTGACTGGCATTTTGTAGGTGAGCCAGCCTGGTAGGTCTCTTCTTACCCCTCTCGTCAACCAGGTGCTTCCCCTCCTGATCAGCATGGTGATTGATGAGAATCTCCATGTGAAAGATACAACAGTGTCTAACAGATGCCACTTCCAGTGCACCCATTATGTTATTTGTACTGTATGCTTTACAATATTCAATATCAATTTCTAAATGTTTGGTGTCGCAGTGTGACTTTTGGCTTGGTGAGCTTGGCACGCTGGTCGCATGAACAGTGGATCAGCCCACGACTCTTGAGCTTATCTTGCTCAAGGATTAGAATTGGCAGCAGTTGACACCAAGTCTTGGTGACTATAAAGACTTCAGATGTGTCGTGACCAGGTAACTTATCACTTTCCTCACTGTGTTGTATCTTGTTAACTATGTCAGGCCGTTGTAGAGAATCATGCCTCTCATGGTGTGATATGGTAGTTTTCACTAAGAAGTACATAGCACGAACTTATAGCATCACTCTGTGTACTATCCACAGTGATTCCTATATGATGCGCAGCTTTCCCGCGCAACGCACGCTATGCGCGCACCATTCCCACGCTTCGCGATGTATACGCGCGCGCGCGCTTTCCCGCGCTTGCGCGCCCTTTAGCGCCAGCCATCCAGATGCATCCATCCACTGTCCACCATGTTCTCTAGTGCGTATATTTCTATTTCTCTCATTGCATATTATTCCATCTTTATTTTATCATGGACTCTCACATATATATATATTTTTACATACCTACTCGGTAGCGCTTCGGCTCCGCATGACTGCGCTTAGGCGCGCTATATAAGCCAGCAGTATAAACTAAACTTACTTTTCACCCAACTTTACTTTTGACTTGAGTACCACCCACTATTTACCTAGCTGAACATAGTAGAAATCTATTTGTCTGCACTTTGCACCTCTCTTCACTTGTCTTACATCTTATCCTCACTTAAGCTTACTCTTTCTCATTTCCACACATGCGTGCGCGCTTTCCTGCGCTTCGCGCTAATACGCGCGCGCGTTCCCGTGCCTTCGTACCTTGCGCGCACCTGCGCTTTCTCGCGCCTCGCTTCAGCGCGTACCTCTAGATCTTTGCTGCACTCGCTTCCCTTTAGGGTCGAACGCGCTTGTCTCCTCAAGTAACGCAGACTAGGCAACGCACGACCTTTCAACATTTATAGATACTGTCAGGAGCATCATTTGTTCCTAGCAGTATTGTTGTTTCTACACCGTCCAACGTGCCTCGGTTGTGGGAGGCAGTTCAAATCGACAAGGCAGCTGTCATCGCATGCTGTGCAGTGTGGGCATAATATGTCTGTTAAGCTGACCGACTCTATCTATGAAAAGCCAAAAAAGTGCAGGTCGGATAAGCACAGCAAGAAGAGGCCTCGTATTGAAGACTCAGACAAGATTGTTCAGGACGGAATCCAGCATATCTGCAATGATGGCTGGGTTGACCCGCCTGATGATGATGTGCCTGTGAGTATTTCATTTATAGCCTCTCATAATATTCATAAAACATTGTAGCAGCAGGATAATGATGTTGCTGGACCGTCACACATAGCTGGCGACAATGTTCCACTCCCTGAAGATAATATGAGTGTTTTCTTTTAGTGAATTACATTGTAATGTCTCATTGATCTTGACACAATTTCAGGTTACAGTCCTGCCACCCAGTCCAGTTGTCTCACAATGCTCTGGGCGCACAATCCGAATGCCACGCCGCTATGTTGATTACCTTCCTGGTTCAGCAACACATCTTGCTCATATGCCAGGCACCAGTCGCCAGCAGCATGGTGAGCAGCCTCAGACTGCAGTGTCGGCCTCGCATACAGATGTCAACAGTGCTGTCAATCACCCTCAGTTACCCAGCCCCACCCCTAGCCTAGAACCCACCCTTGTGCCTTTCGAGACCAAGCCCGACAACATGGGCCTATATCATATCTATCCCACCCATCCCACACTGGTTCCCACAGACGGCACCACTCTTAACACTGTGACGGATGCCCCTACTCTTGACTGTGATCAACCAGGCTCAAAGTGCACAAAGATTCTTGCTGGACTTCTGTCCACAGATGTAGGGATGGATGAATTGTTCGATGCATTCACCAATCCAATGTGCGGACTTTTGATGGCATGGCAGTATCCTGGGACAGGTCTGAACTCGGCCGCGCACTTTGATCGCCTTGGTACATTTCTCAATGATCCTCTCTTCTGCCAGAAAGATGCAGTTGGAATCATGCATACCCGTGAATCGAAGCTGCTCAATAGATATTTGGACGACAAGTCCAATCCTTTCCAGGAGGAATATGGTTGGCGTGAATCCACAGTCAGGATTTGTCTACCAAAGGAGAAGCAGAAATGGACATCAGAGGAGGATGCTCCTGAGTTGGAGATACCTGGAGTATACCACCGCTCACTCATTGATATTATCACAGCCGTTTTCAAGGACAATAACTTGCAGACCTTCAATATGACGCCTTTCACTCAGTACTGGAAGATCTCAGAGGAAAAGACCATCCAGGTCTTCTCAGAAGCTCACAGCTCCCCTGCCATGCTCAAAGTGTATGAGGAGATCAATAAGTTGCCGCGTGAACCTGATGATGGTCTTGAACGCATGGTTGCCTCCCTCATATTTTGGTCCGATGCGACTCATCTAACTAATTTCAGGGACACTTCAATGTGGCCATTTAATTTATTTTTTGGGAATCAGTCTAAATATACTAGAGGGAAGCCAGCATCTGGTGCATGTCACCATGTTGCCTATATACTAACTGTATGTCGTCTCATCTGCTACTGCTGAACATTAGGGCTGAATATTTTGAGATAGCTCCCCAGTGATTTTCAAGAAATCTATATTGGCATATTTGGGGAACCCTCGACAGACCAGACATATACCTTCTGCAAGCGGGAGCTGATGCACGCTATCTGGACACTCCTCCTGGATGACAAGTCATGGATGCTTATGAACACGGTATTGTCATCAAATGTTCAGATGGCATCACTTGTCGAGTTTTCCCTCGGTTTTTTACTTATTCAGCCAACTATCCAGAAAAGTAGGTATCATTTTTTAACCTTGTTATTTACCCTGACATTATTCTCTAGAATTCTACTTGCGAGTATCAAATTTCTGGGTCAATGCCCATGTCCGCGCTGTCTGGTGAAGAAGGCGGACATTCTAAAGATGGGAATGAAGTCTGATTTGAGATGCCGAGACAAGTTGCAGCGCATTGATGACTTGGAACTATCAGTATTTTACATTGGTAGGAATGATGACCATGTGTATTATGATAGTGGTGCTCTTAAGTTCATCAGGGATCGCTTACCTGAGTAGTTGGCACCAGTAATACCACACGCAAGTGTCAGCACATCAAAAGAGATCAAATTGAACATAGTAGAACAGCTCTTTTGAAATTTCATTGATCTGGTTAATCATTCCATGTTGATGAGGACATTGGAGAAAAGTCATCAGGAAAATGTCGGAGCAGTCATGGAGGTACTAATTGTCCTAAACATCCTGCACAGTCTAGGAAAATCAAGCCCAAGGAGGAAAGCAGCAAGTCGTCACATCAGTGAATTGATGAGTTCTTGATTTTGTAGCCATGCGAATTATAGAATGATGCAATTCAGCTTCTGCTAAATATGACCAAGTAAACCACTGGGTTTGCAGAGCTGTCATGCATTCATGATATTTCAAGCTAAGTTTAACTGATCAGTACTAGTCGTTAGCTGATGTGGTGTTTCACAGTTTCAAAGGCATACTCAAATAGCCAAATTTCCATCTTTCTTCACCTGGAAGTAGTCCTAGTAGCTGAAGCGTCAAATGCGGAAGTGCACTCGAGTTACCATGACCCATTTCTCAAAAGAAGCCACATGATGTAAGGAAGATAGATCATGATAGCTAGCCTCTAGCTGACCAAATTTTCTGATCTTTCACAAAGCCAGTATTCAGATAGGCACATATGCCAAAATATCTACCGCATTCATTCATTGCGGATGTGTATGGGAGGCAGGCTATGCAGGTATATATGTAGTAAGTTCTGCTGGAAGTTCTAGGCTGGATCAAATAATTTGCCTTCCTTTCAACTTTCACACTCCTCATCAGAAACTATATTTTGGAGGCTATGGATGCTCGCCCAAAGATGATATACCTCCCAGACACTATGACTAACTGGCCCTGGCCTCGTACCATCAATTCTCATTTTGAAGATATGAAAGCTGAAGTCAATGCTTTGATCCATGGTTTCAAGGCTGTGAGTCCTGAATCACGGGCAGCATTCAGTAAATGTGATTCTGGTTCAACTTATGTCACTAGCTCTCAACTATGATAATGGTTGACACGTGCTCTGCTCACAGCCTACCTAATGGCGCTAGCTAATCCAAATGCACCAAGAGGTTTGTATTGACCCCTAGTGATTAATGTGTCATGAAACTGATGCCATTCTTGAAAAATAGAACACCTCTGGATCAGCTGTGATTTGATCAATGCTTTCTTGTTTTTGGACGAGTACACCGATACCGAAAACGGGGTAGTCACCAAGGAAATTGTGGATATTGTGATCAATGCCCTACACAATCCTCATAAGATATGACCGGAAGGCGAATGCATCCTTGGTGAAATCCTATGACAGTAAGTGCTTCTGAATTGTTTGGTGATCATCTGGAGCCCAAGATGTTTTTGCATAGATTTTGGGTTCCACAATCCAATCCACGAGTCTGTCTTCTCGACATCACTTCCTTGAAACCTTTACTGCATCTCTTCATGGATTTGTTGCCAAGGCTCTTGACCATGAACAAGGTCATAGGCGCAGTATCAATGACTACATGAAGCTCTGGCAGTATACGGTTTGTTTAAAACCATGTTTATTCATATATGAAATGGAGATGGACCTTCCTGATGAAGTGTTCCACCATCATGTCATCATGGATCTTGCTGAATGCATCACAGACTTAGTTCTGATTGATAATGTAAATCAGTTTTGGGTACGTTGATTTGCAGCTTGGGTATGCTTACGATCTTCACAGGACATGATCTCATACACCAAAGAACAAGCAGCTGGGAACAAAGACCACAACATGATAAGTATTATCATGTTGGAAGTTGGTCTCGACATAAGCGGTGCAATGGCTTGGGCAGCGCATTATCATGCCGAAGTTCAGAAATGATTCATCAACGGTCTTATGAAAGTTCCTTCGTGGGGACCTTCTGTTGACATCCTAGTCAAAGAGTATCTTTATGGGATAGCAATGTGGCCCCAAGCAAACCATTCTTGGAGTTACAAAATTCACAGGTAATATGAATTTCCCATTGGTACCTGCATCACTTAGTCCGATTGGGGTTACAGGTACTTTGCCACCAGTGGTCCCAAAATACAGCAAACTAGAATTGTCCCGTTGTTGCCAAGGCCAGACTGTGTGAATCTATCAAGTAGGTCTATTCAGATACGAAGCTCTTTCTATAGAATCTGGCGCCAGCTATTCTTGTACCTTACATATTTCATTGTGTATATTAACTTACTACCACGTTTCTCCGTCTGTCCCTCATAGATGCTACTCTTTTCCTCCTATTTCCCTAGCTTTCAGTCGACTACTTTTTATACATGACTTTTTCTAACCCCAGTCACGGTTACTTCAAATTCCCGCTTGTCCGAGACGCGGTACTGGGGATATCACAGCAGGGGCAGAGGCTTCCGACGGTCCACGGAGCCACTAGGGAAGCTCTCGGTTATCTTGATCAATCTTGATCGGTAGAGGACGAAGTTTCCTTTGTCGTTGCCGTCTTCGTCAAATCATGATATGATCAATCGAGGGCAAAAATATAATAACAAAATATCACAAATTGTGTCCTACATCAGTCCTGAGCTATTCTGAACTCCATGAGCATCATCCCTACAAGATCATAGGTTTGGGTGAGTACTAAACCAGCACTGGCCCTGCGAATTATAACAAATCAAACATCGTTAACGTATCCAGGCATGGAAGGAACTTGCCCAATGTTCTTGAATTCGTTCAAGGTTCGCTCTTTGCCATTGAAAAGAAGCCACATAGCCATGTCATGTTGGTATGGTGTGTTACTACCGAAGTTCAACAATGTAGGTTCGAGCGCCTTATGATTTTGAATGCATGATCACCGTCAAACCAAACTCGAAACTCACCTCAGTAGACCCATTAGCCCCTACGTCTGCCTCTTCAAACTTGCGCAAGAGCACACACTCATCTATCACAGGACGTTGATTCTGGATCAACACCGCTTTGAAACACGGCTGACTCACGAATCAACACTCGGCTGTTTGGTCCAATTACTTTGCGGATATTGCGGAGAATCACACGTGCTTCATTGTCCGGCCAGTCGTGAATGATGCTCCTTAACTACATCAGATTATCGAGCAGTCCGCATTGAATTGGAATAAACTTTGCACTTACGTAGTAAACATCCTTTCCAACAACAGGTGACTCCTCCAAGAAATTCAATGGGACGAACTCTACGCGCCCGTCGAGGAGCGCCTCAGGAGCCTTCTGCTCCCATGTCTGATCATATAAATATAACTTGCCCGCTGGGTGTAGACCTGATGAGTCTGGACTCACATTTCTTGACAGCTTTAAGATTTCCGGGAGATCCTGATTGGTTACCCTGAGATGAGGGAACATTTTCGCCAGAGGAATAGATATTGTTCCGGTTCCAGATCCAACATCCACCACGGATGATACATTGTCCCAAGGGTAATCTTATGGCTCGCTTCAGTCATGCTGACGATTACAAAAATTCTCACAATGCAATGCCGTATATGAGCCATGGATCACAGAATGGCCTATCATGCATTTGTGAAATATCTGTGTATTGTGAGCCGTCAGTCAGTCATGAGCAGACGAATCCGCACGCACTTCGCTAGCTTCTTCCTATACAATATGGTAAGGCATGAAAGGCCAATATGATAACTAAAACTTACGTCCATTTCCCAGAAGCTGCCGTGTTTGCCTTCATTTTTGAGAGCAAATGCTCGGGGGGACTTCTCAACCTCGTCTGATCTTGCAAACTCTTGATTGGTCATGGTCTCATAGAGAACCGCAGCAAATTTGTGGCAGCCTCGCTGGTGTTGTAGATTAAACCCAACATCGTTTGTTGACTGGAGCACGAGGGAGAGTCGCGTGTTTGCGAATACGTCTCGCTTGACTGTGTAACACCAAATGCTTCAGAGAGAATTATCAACCGAAAGTATGCATATCACCTTCTTTGAAGCAACCCCTGAGGGTCAGCAATCGCAAGACACGTGCGAGTTTGGTCTTATCAAAGTTGACTGCGTCAGCCAATGCATCCACACTAAGACCTTCTGGGTGTTTTTCCAAGACGTCTGCAATACATGATTGCGTAGCGACGTTTGTGCACGCCCAATTATAATTATGGATAAACTATAAATATCAGCAATAAAACATACAAGGCCGTCTATAATCGACACTTACATTATATGCTGTGTGTTGGGGGGGAGCCAGTATTGTGTTCAATTGCTCGCACGCGCCCTCGAGTAGCCTGATAGCCTTTCTGAGGGCAAGTGTATCCGTTGCGAAGTCGAGGGGGTGGAGGGTATTTGCGTCGATACCGGGGACTCCATGTCCAGTGTTCTTGTATTCCGCCATTGCTTCGCGTGCGGAGGAGTTGATGATGCTCAAGAGAGCTTCAACCTTGATTTCATTTGGCTCCGTCATTTTGGGAGTGTGCGTGATTTCCCACCAATCGTTCAAATTTTATATTTCTTGACAAAATACATTATCCAGCTGCTTTCCCATAGTGGCCAACTAGTGCCGTTGGCAAGAATGCCCAGTTTTGTCAGACTGGTTGCCAAATTGTTTATGCCCGGTCATCGGCAAAATTTGCGCAGTCTCTAGATGTAACTTAAATCTGGTCAACAAAACATACAGGCAAAGTAGAGCGCACATCCTCTGATCTCAGCACAACACAATCCGTTCGATGGTGGAATCTCTCAGATGAGACATTTGAGACACTCGGAAAAACTTTTCGATACCAAAATGCTATAAAAGCCGCAGTTGAAACATCCTTTGCGTAGGCACTTCCCGGGCTCTCAGCCGAACCTCGTGATGCCTTGCTAGTCCTGAGAAAGTATCTTGCCTGATGCCGAATTTGCGGCTCTCGAAGAATCCAAGAAGTTCTAAATGTGAACGAAGTGCTAGAGGGAAATGCTTTTGATTTCAATAAGTTGGATCGGGTGGAAGAAGGAATGATACACCGACAAGACCATCAGGAAAAGCCCCGGGCAATTTCCAGCGGAAGTTGCTAATACTTATCTTTAGATAGTCAGGTACACGTTGTAGTTCTATTACCACTAGTTATTATGTCTTACCTTCCTGTCACTACCACGCAGTGACATTGCAACATTTTCGCATTATGTTGGCCCCGCGCAATCATATTGTCTGAAGATTGTGAGCCGCTTGTGACGTTTGCGATCATCTTGCAATACTTCATGATACTTAGGCACCAGCAGCGCCGGCTCGGGCCGTGGACACTGGACACCAACTTGAAAATTTGCTTGCCGCAGTCAAAGTTATCTCATCAAGCCTTCCTGGGCCAACCGTGACTACCGTTCTGTATTTACTTCCAGCAGGTGACCAGCACTATCAACTTACCCAAGCCATTGATTTCGGCCGTCATGCCTCCTCAGCGCCGCGCACCCATTGAATATGATTGTGATGCATGTGGAGCTCATAATGTTGATGCTATTCGTTTGACGAGGCATCGAAACCAGTGCAAAGCAATGCGCACCAAAGCCCGCCGTGCCTACGAGAAGTGCGTACACTTTCACGAAAAGCGTCTGGCAGCAAAAGCGCGTGCAAAGGCGGAGAAATTAGCCTTTGTCACTGCGGCATCGCATCCAATGTCAACCGCTCAAACACTCACAGGCCGCACTACCAGTGGCAATCATAGCTATTGCAGGGACTTGGCGGATTTAAATGGGCGAAGGTTCTGTGAGTACCGTGCAAGTTGGATTGCGCTGGGCGTACTGATTTTATTTATTTCCTATCAGTCAAAGGGCTCTTTCACTCCGAGTTATCCGGTCCCTGAGCCTCTACCAAGACCTGCTCGTGATATTGCTGAGTGTGATGTAGACTGAGCATGACCGACTTGTCTTTTCTCCCATACCCGATTCCCACGATATAATAGTGGGAGAAGGTCGATTTGAGATTAGTGGTCTGACTGGCTTGCTGACCCAGCGGTTTCACTCAAAGTGAGACATGGCAGGCCTGGGGTGTATAAAAAGTCTACCGAATCTCACATTTCCACTTCAGTTCGCTTCGCGGCAACACTAATTCCAGAAACCATCCGAAGTTTGTCAAGCTTTGTGATTCACTCACGAAAATATGGGGAACGATGACGCAGTGTTTCTCTCAGACGGTCCGAAGGATTATATCTGAGGAGGGGCCTCCCAGGATGAGTTTGGCAGTATTGATTTGACTGGCTTGCTCGCCAGCAGTATCAATGACAGACGGTGATGAACCTGAAGATACTATAATGATGAATCTATGAGTCACAATGGTCGACGAGTCTCTTCATCCCATCGGGGTGCCTACCGTTCAAGTATATATACGTGCCACAGGTGTCCGAGGTGCGGTGCGGTACTGCGGATATCGCACGACTCAGTGATGTTGGCGCTGCCGATGAGAATACGTATGATTGATCTGAGATGGCGGTACACAATGCGAAATAGAGCATTAGCAATGAACTGCAACACAGAAATTTCTACTAGGAATAGCATACAACACGAAGGCGGCCTTATGCCACATTGCTTCTTATTGGCTTCGATCCCTCTCAACTACTTGCGACAGCCAAAAAGAGTTATCGATAGAAAGCACTGCGAGAATTTCGGACCAAGACGTCCGGTGTGAAATTGCGATTAGCTGGGATAGTAAGCGGCAGCATTGAATGAGTTCAGTGGGACAAAGCAATAGAAGACTCACACACGAGATGCGCATATGTTCATAATGGTCAGAGCAGAAAATTCTGTACCAGGACGATCGAAGAGCCTCATCGACAGCATGCTCGTTTCTGCCATTCTACCTAGCGACGATACAATCAGTGCCCTGGCCTGTCTACTAGACAACGGTATGAAAACAATTCGTGAAACATGATCATCAATGCACATTGCACTGTCTTCGACTGGGATGTCAGCAGGCATAAAAAGTTGAGACTACTCAAGTGATACTGAAGAATTTCAAGCTAACATAGGGCACTGGTTGAATTATGACGACTAACGAAGAACCAGGAGAACGAGCATGGTTGTAGGCTGAGCCCGAATGAGGTTGTCGGAAATTACCGTGGTGATGACTCAGACCCGGGTACGTAAAGGAATTAATTAATTAACTTTCAACTTGAATGTAGTATGACGTTCATGAATTCGGTATGAGGGAGGACACGACACTACCTCTTCATATAGAATATAGCCAGCTGCAAGCCTCGGTGCCGAAATACAGTGACTTCCATCGACGACACGCTTTCAGCTAGTGTATAACTTTATCACTGGTAGCTCTAATGGTCTATTGTAGTACTAGAGTTCGACTCGGAGGTCCCCATTCTTCAGCCCTCGTGTCTCACTGGCCACGGAATGTTTGATGGAGTGACAGGTGACCTAATTGACCGTGAGGTTTCTTCAAGCAAGCTTACACGGTACGCCTCATGCTGCTTATCTTCATGTAATGACAATGCGTATTTATAATATAACTTGAAGGCCGATGGTGCTCCGAATCTTCCTCAGCAAGCCTAGCCCAGTATTCGCTGTTCCCATCTCGTTCCGCATGAACTCCCAACTGTCAGAAGAATCTACGAAGGGGGACAAGGAAAAGGTTGAGGAGGTCAACGGAACCAACCCTCAACCTTTAAACCTTCAGCTTGACACTGGTGACGAGTATACTAACTTTCGTCAAAAATGGTGGCAGTTGTGGTAAGTGAACTACTTTTCAAAAAATGACCTCCGAAGTTCATCGAGCTGCGGGCAGGTTGCCTAAGGACCCACCACCTCCAGCTCCCCCGTCTCTGGAGGATGCAGCGGTATGCAATCCCCTACGCTGATTTTGTGAGGGACCCTTCTAATAACATGTCATTTTACAGCTGACGCCTTTGGCCAATGCTTCCATTTTCTCTCAGCTCACGTACTCCTGGGTCACAGATATAACGGTCAGTCATTGAATCCTGATACCGACGTATACTGCTATAATGTATACATCCAGATTCTCGGATATCAGCGCACATTACAAGCATCTGATCTACACAAAATGGACCCATCACGGGAGTCGACCGTCCTTGCCGCTAAACTTGAAGCTGCATGGCAGCGGCGTGTCAAAGCAGCAGCCGAATGGAACGCACGACTTGAGAGTGGAGAACTCAGACCGTCTCTCTTCAAACGTACCGGCTGGGCCATGCGTGCACTTTCAAGCAATGATCAGAAACAAGGTGCGACTCGGTCTGAGCGATATGCAACATTTCAGAACCATTGGCGAGAATCCGAAGGGCGGAAAGAGGCCAGCCTCGCTTGGGCTTTGAATGATGTCTTTCGTGGGATGTTCTGGATTGGAGGTATATTCAAGGTACGGGTTTTCCTGTTATTTATTGCTGTTAGAATCAATGTACAACACCACTTGTCAGGTCTTTGGTGATACTGCGCAGCTCATGGGTCCAATCGTCCTTCGGGTAAATAGCAACCTCTGTGTTTGGTTGTGGTAGCCTCTGACGCCTGTCCTCCCCCGGCAGCAAATCATTCTCTTTGCCGAGGAGCGTTCCGTTGCAATCATTGCAGGAACACCTGGCCCTAATATCGGTCGCGGGATTGCCATGGCCTTTGGGCTCTTTGGGCTCACTGTGATGGCCAGCATCTGCACCCACCAAGTTTGTTAAACTTTATGAATTACACTCGGCTCACCTAATGTTCCCAAGTTCTTTTGGCGTTCGATGGCAACAGGGGTCCTGGCCAGAGCCGCACTGATAACATGTATTTACGAGCGTGGAGTGAACCTGACGGGCAAAGCGCGCGTTAAAATCAACAACGCCACGCTCGTGAATCATATTTCTACTGATGTGAGCAGGGTTGACGCGTGTGCGCAGTGGTTCGTGAGTTGCAAACTTAAGCACTACACTCCTGCTGTCGACTGACTTGTGGCCTGTCCCTCGTCACTAGCATGCAGGTCAGTATATAATCTGGTATTCAGATTTAGAGATGACTTACTGTCCTCAAGCCTGGACCGCGCCTATTCAGGTCACAGTTTGTTTAATCATTCTCTTGACTGAGGTTTGTTGTACGCTGTGAAAAGTTTAGTTTATTCTAACCACACTTAAAAACTAGCTCGGGCCGTCTGCACTCGCTGGATTCTCGCTGTTCATACTCATGATTCCGATTCAACAGTGGTTAATGACACTGCAACATCGTATCCGCTTAGTGTCAATGAAGTGGACTGATCAACGAGCTAAAGTTCTGCTAGAAGTACTTGGTACGTAACCTTGGGGCAACTGGGACGTGCAAGGACACTGAAGTGCATAGGGGCTATGCGGGTCGTCAAGTACTTTTCATACGAGGTTCCTTTCCTTCAAAGTAAACATGACGTCAAGGAATGTCAACAATATACTCACCAACATTGCTTAGGAATTTTCGACCTTCGAAAGAAGGAACTGCATGGTATTCGATGGATTCTTCATCTAACTTCGGCGAAGTAAGTCCAGATGTGTAAGCATGGTGACGCCTCCTGATTGAATCTACACAGCTTGGCGCTCGCGACTTCGCTGCCAGTCCTCGCTGCCACACTAGCTTTCGTCACGTACACCCTCACAGCCCACGACTTCAACGTTGCCGTTATATTCAGTTCGCTGAGTTTGTTCCAGGTGAAATTGTCTTTTGCGGCGGATATATGAACACGCACCTAATCGAGAGACAAATAGCTTCTCCGGCAACCAATGATGTTCATGCCTCGGGCTCTATCGGCTATCCCCGATGCATCCAGCGCGCTTCAGCGGCTCACACGAGTGTTCCGCGCGGAGCTTATTTCCGGAGATACACTCTTGATTGATAAGGACCAAGAACCCGCGCTTTTGACGAAGGGCGCAACATTTGAGTGGGAGTCCTATGAAAAAGATTCTGGTGAGGCCTTTAGCTCGAAGGGTCCACCGAGGGGTAAGGACAGGAGTGTGAAAGAGGACACGGCGAAGGAAAAGTCCACTCCCGGAAAAGATACACCTCCTTTCCAGGTAAAGAATGTGACCATGACAATTCCACGAGGTCAACTTGTTGCTGTAGTTGGGCCTGTTGGGAGCGGCAAGGTACCTTCGTCGAATGGAATTCTTGACGCGACTGCTGACCTATGAACAGTCCAGTTTATTGCAAGGACTGATAGGTGAGATGAGGAAGGTCTCCGGGCATGTCTCGTTCGGCGGTCGCGTTGGATATTGTCCGCAGACCGCATGGATCCAGAATGCTACATTGGTCAGCATGATGTCACCCCAACAAAGACAAATATACCTCTAAACATCTTACTCTAGCGCGATAATATTACTTTTGGTCAACCATTCGAGGAGGACAGATATTGGCGCGTTATTGAAACCGCTTGCCTACTTCCAGATCTCCAACTGCTCCCAGATGGGGATTTGACTGAGGTATGTGGATGAATTCAACTTGATATCCCTGCTCATGTTATTTCAGATCGGAGAAAAGGGAATCAATCTCAGCGGTGGCCAAAAGCAGAGGGTGAGTTCGTGGCTTGGATCCGTTCAGAATTTATCTTTATCTTCCACCTAGGTCAACATTGCTCGTGCCCTTTACTTTGAACCTGAAATCGTCATATTTGATGACCCGCTCTCGGCAGGCGAGCTATGTGGTTTATATGATATCTGACATACTGATGAATGTTTTCAGTGGATGCTCATGTCGGAAAGTCGTTATTCCAAGATGCCATCGTGGGTGCCCTGCGAAATCGCGGCATTACCGTCATTCTGGTCACGCATGCGATCCACTTCCTCTCCCAGGTAGATTATATCTATACCCTGAACAACGGCGTCATCACGGAGAGTGGAACCTATGAGGATCTGGTCTCTCAAGGTGGTGATTTTGCGCGTTTGGACCTAGAGTTCGGTGGCCATGCATCGGAGGGGGAAGATGAAGACCAGGAAGAGGAAGAGGAAGTCACTCCGCAGACAGGCATTACGATCGAGGATGTGAAGCTGAAGTCAGAAAGAGCCAGAGAACGGGCTTCTGGCAGTGGGAAACTCGAAGGTCGCTTGATCGTCAAAGAGAAGCGGTCGACGGGCTCTGTGTCCTGGGCAGGTGCGATCAAGTTTATCTGAGATGTTTCCCTGGACTGAAACAGTCCCATAGTGTACTGGACATACTTGGCTGCGGGACGCGGTTCAATAACAGTTCCCCTGCTTGTTCTCTTTATGCTTGCAATGCAGGGAAGCCAGATCTTGAACTCGTACACGCTAGTTTGGTGGGAGGCCAAGTCAGTGTCTTTTTATTGACTTCTTGATTCCTTTTCTAAATTCCAGTGCAGCAAATTCGACAGACCAAATTCGTTCTATCAAACGCTGTACGGCTGTCTAGGGGTCGCTCAAGCGATCTTCGTATGCTTGCTGTAAGTCGGTTCCTATCGCTGATGGCGGCACGCTCACTCAACACAACTTGCTGTAGTGGTGCTGGAATGGATTTCATTTCATATTATGCATCTCAAAGCCTGCACCACAAGTCCGTGCGCAACGTCTTTCATGCGTCTATGTCCTTTTTTGACACCACAGTGAGTGATTGCATATGGAAGCGCTAAAACCAATGCTTATTGTGTTCCTGTAGCCTATGGGCCGAATCCTGAGCATTTTTGGCAAAGATATCGACGGTCAGTATCTCATTTATTTTTGCTATGTTGTACTTGCGGAAACTTTTCATCCAGGTATTGACAATCAACTACCACGTGAGTCATATATCACTGCATGCTGAGATGTCACTTATCCATGGTCCAGAATCGACGAGATTGCGTACGTTAGTTGCACGCTTCATTTATAGAAACTGACTGGAGATCCAGTCGTCATCATGCTGTCCAGCGTGGTTGGCTCTATCGTCATCGTTTCTGTCCTTGAACCGTACTTTGGTCAGCATATTGATATCATCCGCGAGGATATGGCTCATGCTTGACTAGTTATCGCTGTGTTCTTCATTGCTATCGGTTACGGCTACTTTGCTGCCTTTTATCGAGCTGGTGCTCGCGAAGTCAAGCGTCTGGGTTTGTTATTGTACTTTTGACGTGAAAGCCTCCGTTGAAGTTGGTCATCAGATTCTATGCTTCGCTCTCTTCTGTATGCCCACTTTTCGGAGACCTTAACAGGACTGCCCACAATCCGCAGCTACGGAGAAATGAAGCGGTTTATTGCTGCCAATAGATACTACATTGATCTGGAGGACAGAGCTCTATTACTCGTGGTCACGAACCAGAGGCAAGTAACCTTCAAATTATGCATATCTTGGCGGTCTTTGTTCATCACCTTCCCTCAGATGGCTTGCAATAAGGTTGGACTTCATGGGAGCCATATTAGTCTTCCTTGTAGGCGTCTACCCAATGACAGATACCTCGTGGTTACTCAATATGATCTCAATAGGTTGCTCTTCTCGCGGTGATCGACGTCTCCGGGATAAACGCCGCTCAGATAGGGTTGGTGTTGACGTATACCAGTGGGTCTCCCAATGTCGCCACTACAGTCTATACGATCGATTAACCTTGTCACAGCCTCGCTGTCGCAAATGTGTAGTCTGGTAACCAGACAGACAGCAGATGTTGAGGTAAGGCTTTCCTTACTATCTCCCATAGGCTATTAAATTGTTATTCGCCTCAGAATTACATGAATTCAGTGGAGCGACGTGAGTCCCCAATTCCATCATACCTCAATTCTTACTGACATCTCGCAGTGGTACAGTACGTCGCAGGCGATATGGTACCTCAAGAGGCTCCATATGAGATCGAAGAACGAAAGCCCCCGGCGCAATGGCCTGAACATGGTGCCGTCGAATTCAACGACGTTAAGATGGCTTACAGGCCGGGCCTTCCCAACGTATTGAAGGGCATCTCCATCAAGATCAGGGGAGGCGAAAAGATAGGTGTCGTTGGAAGGTTAGCTGGTTTGTTGGATCTACCTATGTATGCTAATGCGATGTCCCCTCAGGACTGGTGCTGGTAAATCTTCATTGATGCTTGCACTGTTTCGAATTGTTGAGGTGTCTGGTGGTTCAATCACTATTGATGGGTGCGTGGATCATTACTCGTGACGAATATTGATTGGTTTATCCTTTCTAGTGTCGATATATCTACGCTTGGTCTTAAAGATCTCCGCTCCAAGATTTCGATTATCCCACAAGACGTCTGTAAAATTTCCCTGTACGATCTAACACAGGACTAACGTACGAACTTGATAGCCCCTTCTATTTAGCGGTTAGTATCGTATATCTACGTGCTCTTGTGCAAAGTGCTAAATGATCCCCAGGGACCATGCGCTCCAACCTGGATCCATTCTCCCAACACAGTGACGCGGTGCTATGGGATGCGCTGCATCGGTCTTGTCTGCTTGATTCTAGTATCACCTCGAAACAGTCATCTTCTAGTGATGGCGTCGGGAGCGAGCAAGCTCCCACCAACCGCTACGACCTTGACAGTACTATTGAGAGTGAGGGAGCGAATCTCAGCGTAGGGGAGAGATCTCTGCTCAGTCTGGCTCGTGCGTTGGTGAAAGACTGCAAGGTCGTTGTGCTTGATGAGGCTACGTTAGTCATGTGTTCCTCTCCTGGATGCCTGATGTTGAATTCTTTTCAGAGCCTCTGTCGATCTCGATACTGATAGCCAGATCCAGCACACTATCCAGACGGAGTTCCAGGATCGCACGCTACTTTGTATTGCCCGTACGTTTTATCTTCTGTGTTCTCGGTGCAATGATATAATGCGATGATACTTCAGACCGACTTCGTACTATCATTTCATATGACCGGATTTTGGTTCTTGACGCTGGCCTTGTTGCTGTAGGTTGATTTGAATGCCTCGGTGGTCAATATTCACACATTATCAAAGGAATTCGATACTCCATCCAATCTTTTCAAAATGGAGGGTGGCCTTTTCCGCGGAATGTGTGAGAGGAGCAATATCTCGTTGAAAGATATACTAGAGTCGAGTAAACAGCTTTAGATGGCCAAGTCTGTTGATTTCTTTTCAAATTGGTAAGGACTGTACCTATCATATGGTCTCTATTTCTTGTAGCGATCTTGAACCATGTTTTCATCTAGCATACAAGCCACTGATATCAAAACAGCCGCCTACATTTCCAAAGGCCTTTCGGAACTGTGAACAATCGTGCTTCCGATTTCGACATTATGCAGTACAGCATTGCAATGTGCAGAGATCTCTTGTAATTCTGAAGGTGAACAGATCGCTCTCTTGAATAATCATCCCAACAGATCCTCTACCAGATGTGTCCTCTCTGCAGACCACTTGGCAAGTATCTCCCTACACAGTATTGCTAGTTGGTACATATACACGCTCCCGGAAGACAGGGAAGCCATGCTAGTTTCGCCGTCGGAGTCAGCCACGAGTTTTGCGTGATATTTTCGAACACTAAGGATGAGGCGTAATCCCAGCACGAACATCTGCACGCCCAAGGAAATTTGAAGAGCACCAACGAGTATCAGAGCTTCCATAGAATATGAATCCTACAGAAACAATGAGCAGTGGTTGAAAGAAGATGTAGGTCGGCGCACCGCAAGCTCTGGAGCGCCATTAACAAACTGAAGGCAAGCGGAACTTAAGAAAAATATAATCACATGCATGTCACAGTATCAATCCGTTAACAGTACTTCCACCCGGATCAGTCGCAGGATGATACCATACATCATGATGGCTCTGCAAATTGATGCAACGCCAATCCATCAACTACATGATGAATTTAGCGTAAAGTATCTTTGGCGCATCTTGGCAAGCATTGGGTCTACATTATGGACCCACCACATGTGTTTCGCCTACATGCCAACGAGGAGGTGTGGATGACGGAGGAAATGAGTGCATTGGATTAGCTATTGGCGGATGACCCTGAGTCGGAGGCGTTGCAGGGGAGTGGGACAGGTCAGATCTGTGCTATTCTGTCATGCCGGCACAATGCCAATTGTCGAAGCGGTGCACGAGAATTTTCTTCGGTGTTTGTGTGATAGCCAAATGCGGTCTAAACGTCTTCTTCGCCTCCTGCAGTTTCATTCGCAACACACTATAATTTTTTTGAAAACTCAAGACACTGTGCTGTAAGCTTAGCTAGCTAATAGCTGCACAGGATCCGGAATAAGGTTGCATTCTGCTAGCATAACAGGAAAAAATGAAACAGAATAGCTTGAACTTACACCATTAGCCTTTCCCGCTCCTCTGCAACGCCTCCGACTTGAAGTCATCCGCCCATAGCCAATCCAGTGCGCCCGTTTCCTCCTCATCCACACCTTCTCGCCATGCACCTATAATGTTATAGGCTAAACACGTGGGATGACACTGCAAATGTGATGTGGACCCGATGCTTGCCAAGATGTATCAAAAATACTTTACGCTACAACACGTTGTAGTCCGCACTATTTTGCCTAGGTCATCCAATACCAGGAGCAAATATAAAGTCTATTTTGGCGACAAAAGGGCTGAACTCAACGTCCATAAAGTTCGCCACCACTCATATACACCGTCCCTCGAACTTATCATGACGCTAATCTCAAATGATCCCAGTGGCCGCTAATCATTCCGTCTCGTAATTCAAGCTATTTTGTAGGTTCGTGGAGAGTCAGTCGTGCTTAACCTTGACTGCGATTTCGCAGTTGCCTCTACTGCGATGGTATATGACTGGGGTGACCAAGGTAGTCTTAAAGAATCAGTGATATCTTTATGATACGCCCAGCACTGACATTCGGGCAAGAGGTAGGTTGATGTCATTACCAGAGCGGCCATCACACTCAGAAGCGTGGTTTAATACCAGATTGAACTAGTCTGGGTGAGTAATGTCCCATACGATCAGACGAGCACTACCACGGTACAGCTATATGGGCAGAGGCCACGCTGGTCCCTCGTGACCCTTCTATATCTTTGGGTATGCAGCTTTATAAGTGTGGTTGGAAATTTGCGTTGATACGAAAATATCGTAGGTGCGCTGTGCTAGGATATCACATCATGCCAAGCTCATAGCCGACTCCAATCCAGAAACAGGCATATCTGCGATTGCTTTCCAGGAGCGTGTCCACACGTTATGCCGGTCAATTGACAATGATACGTAGTACTGGAGACGCTCCAAGTGATGATCACTCGGTGAGTCATTGTCTTGAGTAATTATATCCAGGGAGCATGGATGAAATACTTATAATAAATCAATCTTTTCTTCATAGGACTGGAATATCATGCTGCGAAGATCACTACTTAAAGTAGCTCACACGTGGGTGGAATGATCAAGAGCATCTCATGAGAGACTTGTGATATCGATCTCGTACGGAGATACCAGCTGATGACATGGAAGCATGCGCACGCGTTGCTTCTACCCAATTCTACCAGTGAAACTGTCAAGTTTACATCGTAGTTCTGTTGTCAACAGTGGCTGACGATTTTGATGGCTCCAAAATGCCTCGGAGAACATGTAAAGTACTTTGGTCTCCTATGAGAAGTGATACTACTGCTTCCAGAAGACGCAAAGGGATGTCGAGAGACTAGTTGCGGCCTGAAAAGTCCTGAAGCCGAACAACGATGCTAACATATGGCGCAGTGGATAACAACACAAAATAGGTTCCAACTTTAGAAGAATGTGCAATGCAATTCAAGGACTTTGAAATTTGATCCTCCGTGCACAAGGTTGCCATGGAACCATCAGACTACTACTGCGCGAATTTACACGCTGCCTTGTGATATCCAATCGCTGTCTATAGTGAGTGATTTGTCTTATGTTTCTCATACACTCATCATGTTCCAGCATAAGTCTATGCACCGGATCAAGCGAAAGAACAACACTGGCCTGCGATAGCAATTGGCCTGTATCGTTCGAAGAAAGGCTCCTTTTGTGGCCAAAACCTATTATGGGCGTGTGTCCGAGTCGTTTTCTTTCCCTGGGCCCCAGCCTTGAAGCTAGGTATCTGTCAGACAACTTGCAAGGGAGAGGAGCCCCCACCTTGACTACTGTCCAGACCATGCGCAATTCGCAGTTGCCAAGTGCTTTTCTTCATCCATACCTTGAGGGTTGATACTCTGCTCTTCCCAACTCTTTCGTAGCGCTCGAAACTGCGCACAAGGCTCCTAATTGTGGTCTCATTGACGGACTCTTTTTCGAGTGAGCCCATCATCTCGCGAGAGAACAATTTGCGCTCGATTTCAATGACATTTGCGAAGTGCGTTCTGTATGTCGTGTAGTCTGCGCTGAGGACGAAGTTTATTCAACCACTTGGACGAAGGGGGAGTATGTGTGGTGGACGCTGATTTTATCTCTGGCAGTAACACATGAACCGACGCATTGACGTACCCCTTGTATCTGGTTCCTTTGAGAACAAACTCGACGTAAGTTGGTTGATTGAGCTTATGTTGTAGTGGTTTACGAGTTTTCAGAGTTCCTAGGCAAGCGTCCTTTCAGATGCCTATGATGATACCTACCTACAAACAGATGCACATGTTCAGGGTAGAGTAACGTTTTCAAGCAGGCGTTTCACGGATGCCGCAGTCTGTCAAAGTCATGGGGCAGATCCCAGGCTGCACTGGTAATGAAAACCATATGGAGGAAATTGAAGTAGCGCGGCTGGTGGAACGGATAATGTGTGCACTCGGTAATGGTAAAACTCGTTGCTCGAAGTCCCTGACCGAATGGCCACTATGCTCCGACAGGGATGACCGCCGGATGAAACGTTAACGTGAACAATCAAAATCAAGGAGAGCTAATAATAATGCATTTATATACAGGTTTCGTCATATGAGCGCGTGGAATATTAATGCTGTCAGCGGGGCAATGAGATGGCAGATATGTGATAGGAAAGCAATACAACAACCGGAGAAAATGTCATCACAGACGAATGTAAACCGTACAAAAATACTGAAGAGGCTTGCTACGCATTAGTGTTCGCCAGTAGCAAACAAAGCTAGAGGGATTGTGTATAATTGGTGAATAGCGCACCGTCCAGCCCGAGGTCTAGTACATTTACATACCAGTTTAGACTACTAGTATGGTACAACACGGGCAGAGCACTAGACGGTAGCTATTGCTGCGCCAGGTCGGGTGTATTAACGGTTAGTACCGTGGCTGTGTTTGTATTTTCATGAGCGCTCCTGTAGGGCCTCGCCAAACAAACTCTCCAATTGCGAACCACGACGTGGCAAAAAGTGATTGTCTTAATATACCGCGGCAAAATGTTGCAAACATGTGATGGGATCATATATGATCCCGGTATCCAACGTCCTTAGACGTGCCACAAGGGTGCAACCATCAGACTACCTCGCGGATTCCACTCAGGCCCTGCCCGTAATGACATTCTCACATGGTGAGTTATTTAGCTGACATCACGTTCTACAGGAATTAAACAATCAGAGTGCAACGTTCCATGACATCGAGAAAGGGTCTTGTAACATTCTTAGAACGAGTAAGTTGGCTTCCTCGTGGCTCTCGTTTGAGCCAGATGGCGTTATATATATTGAAGGCTAGAGCAGTCGTGGGTTGCCAACCAGGCTGTGTAATTTGTTGATCCGCCATGTGGTTGATGGATTACTCATGCGTCATGCACCGCTTTTTGCACCAATGTCATACTATATCTACCAAATTTTTGGCCCTTATAAGCCTATAGACGGTGAGACGTGTGCACGAGGCGACAGATGCTGCATCACCCCATAGCCTGTATCAGGCTGATGCCATCATGTGGTACTATGGAGCTTTTAAGCTGATGCAAATGCGGCAGGCTCTTGAGAATCAAGTTAATCAAGTTCCGGAACCAACGAACAGCTTTTCAAAATTTCGAGGTGTTGTATTCCTCGTGTTTAACACTGCGTTTTGCATATTCAATTTGATTTGATTCAAGATCCCGCCTCTGCATTTGGTCAACCGATGTGGCAGGAAAGTACCATTCATCCTCATATGGCCTATTCGGCGACAAACTTAGCGCCGGACGGTGGTATATTATCTAGCGCAAACGTCATCTCCATATGCT